TGTGTGTGTGTGTGTCTGTGTGTGTGTGTGTGTGTCTGTGTGTGTGTGTTGTGTGTTAATTCAAGTTAATTTAGGTGCCATGGTGCATGTATGATTGATTGTCCTTAATGTTTGTCAGTCTTCATCTTTTACCTTATATGAGACAGGGTCTCTCTGCTTTTCACCACTTTGTACGCCAGGCAGGGTGGCCTGCAAACTTCTCGGGATTCTGCGTCTCTTTCCATCTCACCATAGGAAAATTGAAATTGAAGATAGGGAATATCTACACCCAACTTTACATGTGTTATACGTTAGTTAATCATGCTTGCATGGCAAGCCCTTTACCCACTGATCCACCTCCTCACCCCCTTGAAATACTTCCATTTCAGTGTGTAAAATGCTTTCTCATTCTCTTCAAAGCCATAAATAGTCTAATATGTGTAAACTGTTTACTCTGGGAGTTCTTGGGGACATATGTCAGTTTTCAGTCTTTGCCATTGAAAGTAACAAACAGTATTACACATGTCCTTACATCATTCCACTTATACATAAATGTATCCATAGGTCCCATTTGTAGACATGAAATGGCCGGGTCAAAGGTAAACCTTTGTTACTTTGAAGATAAGTTTTGTGCAGTGACAGTCATAGTGACTGTTTAGTTTTTTTCTAGATTTGTTTTCAGTTATAACCAGTATTAAACCAGTTTGGAATCTGCCACTTGCTCCTCGAGAAAATTTCATCATTTCTAAATGAATTGTTAATTGTACAGGACCTCTGGATGTGTGAACAGTAGGTGAAGAGCCTTAAATGATGTCTCAGAAAGTGTTCTTAGGAGGTTTCCAAAAACATGGTCATGGTCATCACCTGACTGAGACCTGTTCTTCATCTGGGTCCTGAGCTTCTTATTCTAACGATGAAGATGACAGGGAGATGAATAGTATTACTGCTCCTTGAGAGAGAGATGACTTTGGTCCCCCACCAGTTGTGGTGGTGTGATTCCCAATAGGTGTGGGCAATGGAATAAAAGGAACAGCCTGTTTCAATGATTTGAAAAGAGTTTGAAATGATGAAACTCAACAGTGATGTGAGGGTGGCAACTCTGAAGGGGATCACTTGCTAACTTGTAGTGGGGTGTGGGGTGATACTAGCCACCTGAGTGACTGCTACATTGAAACAGTATAGCCAAGTCCACATACTAAGAATAATTGTCAGCCTGTTGGAGTAAATGATGCATCTCCCCTCCCCTATGCAAACTTGCCTTGTCTACAATACTCAAGAATGGCTGTTAACTTGATAACTGAGGACTCTTCAAATTTTGCCATGTCTGAACTGTGTGGATGACTCTAAGGAGTACAACTGGTTTTTCCATTCTATTATTTGCACATGCTGAAGGGGAAAGAATTAATAAAGTTAAAAATTAAAATGGATCAAGCTGGCAAAGATTGTGCCCCAGCAAGCCAAATGTGTGTCTGGAGGAAAGCACCAAGACTAATGCATATGTTCTGTGGAACTGTGATGGGATTTCCCTGCGTTTGTAATGCTCTAATGGGGGAATGAATACAAAGGCAGGCACTTGAGTACACGGAAAGATTTTTCCTTCAGATTAAGTGGAGGAAGGAATTCAAAGCTTTCCTACAGTGGCAAAACCATGGGAGTAGAAACCACAAACACATTCAATGTCCCTTGTGTTTCAAGGTATTGCTATTTCATAGACTGATAACATGACACATTACAGATAACCTGTAACAAATACAAAACCTGTTATGAATATAGGAAGTTTGAGATGTCTGAGAGAGTGGTTTTTATATATAGAAAAGATTAAAGTAACTCTCAAGGTCTAAACTTTATTCACATATGAATATTTTAAATATATTTGAGTAAATATCTAGTACTTCTATTAAACTTTATTTTAAAATAATTTGAATTCAAGAAAAATGAAAACAACAATACCAAGGACCTTCATGCATCCTTTGATTAGATAAATCAATTATTTAAAATTGCCTTGTGTACTTTATGATTCTTTTGATGGATAGATCTCTCTCTTACACACACACACACACACACACACAGAGAGAGAGAGAGAGAGAGAGAGAGAGAGAGAGAGAGAGGAGAAACATTTTAAGATACCCACAACTGATTCAAAAAGCCCCCTCTAGGAGAAATGAAGATCAAAGGGGTCAGGACCAGGCTGGTGAATCCCATAGAAACAGCTGGCCTGAACAAGTGGGGGCACATGGTCCCCAGACTGCTGTCTGGGAGGCCAGCACAGGACTGATCCAGATCCCTGAACATGGATGTCAATGAGGAGGCACTCTATGGGGCCCCTAGTAGTGGATTAGTATTTTTCCCTGGTTTAAGAAGGGACTTTGAGAGCCCATCCCACGTGAAGGGATGCTCTCTCAGCCTGGACACATGGGAGAGGGCCTAGGCCTGGCCCAGGATGATGTGCTGGACTTTGGGGAGCCCCTGTGGAGGGCCCTACCCTCCCTAGGGAGCAGAGGGAGTAGGGAGTGGGGGCTGGCGGGGGGGGTGAAGCAAGCTTGTTCCTAATTTGAAGTAATAAAAAAAATCTCAAAAAGCCCCCTCTATACTCAAATACTTCTTTTCTATATTCTAAACGCTAGGACATTCTGTTGCATAAGCGTAGTGCACTCATTAAAATAAATATATTAAATAAATTTATTTTAAAAAATAAAGACATTAAGCATCACATACAATGCTATCATTGACTTCACTTCCTATATCCAAATGTCACTTTTGTTCATAACTTTTATTGTTCTGTATTTTTCCCTGGCCTAGGAGCTACTCCACAATTTCATGACATTTAGGTGCCGTGTCTCTTTAATCTCCTTTGATCTAGAACAGTTTTTCTGTCTTCTCTTCTTTAAAGACCTTGACATTTTTACAAGCACAAGCTAGTTACTTTAGTATGTACCTCATTTTGTATTTGCCAATGTGTCCTCAGGATTAGATTCAGAGCATGAATTTTTGACAGGAACACTACACAAATGATGTCTCCTCACCATATCATACTTGGAGGCAGGTAATCCTTGTCTATCCTGTATTAGGTGTTCACTTTGATATCTTAGGCAAAGTGTTGTCTGTAAGAAATCACCACTTGGTACACATTTTAAAACATCACTTTTCTTAAATGTGTAGGTTCAACATATACATTTTATTTTCCATGTATATAGACAGTTTTTAGAAAGTACCTTTCTGTGTCTAGACATACCGAAACTGAGAAAACTGAATTCTCTTCTTCCACTGGGCACTATACATTGAATATACTTTATTTTTAATCTTCTAAATGTCTGACAGGGAAGTCTTTCACCACCAACCAAATTAGTACCCAATTCAAGTTAATAGAAGAAAAATGTAGTTAAGTCTCTGAATCTTCCATTGCTATGCACTCTGTGGCCTGAGTCTAGTTTCCTTTTTACCACTCAGTCGAAGAGCACATGTAAGGTGACATATCACACAGATTAGAATCCAAGACTTACCTAATTTGGTAATCATTCAAATATTTTTCTTTAAGGAAGCATAGATGTCTCATAAATTAAACAAAAATATATTAAACACCTCAAATGGAGGAAGTGATATGTCTTCGTGGTAGAACACTTGCCTAACATGGCTGAGGTTCTGGATTCCATCACTTCCCTGCAAAACAATAAAACAAACCTATAGATTAGCT